CCGGCGGCGGTGTAAGCGCGACCGTGCATGGTTGACGTCACTCGGCAGGCTTTAGAAGGTAGCGTCGTGTGAGCGCGCCGTCCAGCGGAGGGCGGGCAGAGATGAGACGCTACAGCTGGTTCCACAGGAGGAACAGAAAGGTATCCTCTGTCCTTCGCGCCATCCACCGAGGAGAAAGCAGCAGAGGCAGAGGTACGCAGCCTGGCGGAGAAGGGGGCGTTCCACGATTTAGTCACTTCCTCGTGAAGTTCCGGGAGGAAGGGCGTGGGCCGCGATTTCGTCGGAGCCTCTTCATTTCCGAGAAAGCGTCCGTCCATTCTGTTGCGCGGCGGCTGCGCGGGCGCCTCCCAATCGAGGCCAATGCTTTCCACGGCCTGAGAGAGCAGACGCATCAGCTCAGTCTCAATGCCGGCTCTCTTACCAGTGGGCTGGCGGGAAACGCTAGCGGAGGGGAGATCCACGGAGCTCGCCCAATCCTCACTATCGGATGCCAGAAGAGAACACGCCTCGGTGGGGTCAAACTCGTGGATGGACGCGGCGGCAGGCGGCGGCCGTTGTCCGTCAGTGAGCGACTCGAGCGAAACCGGCGAAGCTGGCGGGCGAACCGGCGAACTTTGGCGGGCTGGAGAAAGCTCGGGAGCGCGCTGGGCGCGGCGCTTCTTGCGGCGCGGCACCACGGCGGGCTGCGGTGAAGGCTCGGAGAATGATGCCAGGCGAGTCCTCAGAGTCACCATGGGCAAAAGCTCGCAATGAGGGCATCCGCCGTCAGCGAGCGCGAGAGCCGCAAGATCCTCACCCAGGCAGGAAACACAGATGACGTGCCGGTCTCCATCGCTGAGCGGGGCGCGACACGAGCCACAGGAAGGCATCTTTAAAAAGACGCAGCTCTTTTTGTGAGAGAAGTGTGAGTCGCGTCAAGTAAGCGAGCAAACACTCTCAACAGAGTAAATACACACAGAGTATGAAAAGGATATAGAACGCCGGAAAGCGCAGCAGGTACGGCAGTTGAAGGCGGCGAGGCCAGCGACTCCAGAGCTCGTCCCGCTGAAAGGCTTGCTTCGACGCCGCGGCTTCTCACTCCGGATCCAGCGATGCGTGGTGCTTCGCTGAAGAGGTAAAAATCAGCTTGTATCAGCCTAACGAGCATATTTATAGGGTGAGACCACGCCCCTTCTGGCGGGACGTGACGATATGGGCGCGAATTGCCCCCATTGGTCATTACGTCACGCAGAGTCTCTCTCGATAGGCTGCTGCATTTGCTGCAGAGCAACCAATAGGCGCGCGAGCTGTTTCGCCTATGTCTGCTTGCTGCTGCAAAGCGTTTTACATTAATAAAAAATTAAGGATAATTTTTGGCTTCAATATCTCGCGGAAAAGAGTTTTTCCCCTAGCGTAAGCTATTACGCAGTACGAGAGATACTCTCGTAAGAGAACAAACACATCTTACTGTTAAATAATGTAGCTGTACCTAAAAATACCTACTTATTAACTGCATGTTCAAGCAGGTTAATAAATCATATGGGTGAGTGGGTGGAATAAAACTTGACAGTAAATGAGACAAATAAGTGAGAGATTACAAGAATTTAAAACCTTTATTAAACTTTTTTTTTTACATTGCCTCTGAACAGTGCTTGTGTCATTGAATGTGGGTTTATACACAGTGGATAAGTGCAGTACACTGGAGGTTGGAGCCATGGTGGAGACTTGACAGGCAGAACCAGGGAGATGACTGACTGAGACAAGGTTGATGGCGTTGGAGACCCAGGCGGAGCCGAAGAGACCGGGGAACACAGAAGGTCCTGAGACCAGACGGAGCCGTGGGGACGAGCGGCCAAGGTGAAACCAGGGTGCCGGAGGACTGAGGCGGAGCTGGTGCGCCTGAGGACTGAGGTGGAGCCGGAGGGAAGGAGAAGCCTGACGGAGCCAAAGGGGTGAAAGGATGAGTCACAGATGAAGGCCCGTAACTCCATGGCGATGGCAAAGTGACCACAATGTGGAGCCGGAGGGATAGGGAAGCCTGGTAGAACTGTAGGGACGATGGTCCCAGGTGGAGCCGAGGAGCCAAAGTGGGGTCGACAGGTCGATGGGCCGAGGTGGAGTGATGGGCTCGGAGGTACTAGGCGGAGCAAACGGGTTGACAGCTTATGGGCTGAGCTGGTGAACTATCAGCCCGAGGTGGATCCACGAAACACAGAGCAGGTAACGTAGAAGGAGAGGAAAAGCTGATGAGAGGCAGTGAAGACAGGGCTGAAGGACTGGGCAGTGCAGGCTGGGGTTTAACCAACAGCCTTCCTGGCCGATACTGGACAAACCGACAGTCTAAAGTGGCCTCCTTGGCTGAACCGGAATAGGCAGAATTCTTAGGAACGGCTCTCTTGGTCATCTTGGAACAGAGGACGTGGGAGTGGGAGGCAGGGCGGGAACATCACAGACCTCAATTGTACAGTGCAAGGTGACGAAAAGGGCATACAAAGAACTGACGGAAACACAGAGCTCAAATACAAACAAACCAATCAATGAAATGAATGACAGGTGCACATGATAATCAAACCAATGAAAAACCCAAAAATGGTTCTAAACAGTACCAAATTAGGGTTCTTCGGCTTGTAACAAAGCAGAACCCTTTTTGGTGCTAAATAGAACCCTTTTTATAAGGTTCCATAAAGAACCATGCTTTTAAAATGTTATATAGGACCTTAATGGTGTTATAAACAACCTTTTCAACAATATTTGTATTCATTAATATTAGTGTCTTCATATTATTAATATTACTATTATTAATATTATTTTAACAAATTGTGGCCTGGTCTTATATATTGCTGCCTCTATTTGGGTTTTACATAAAAAAACAGCATGTTGTGTCAATTAGGTCCTTTTATTTTTTTATTGACATGGCAGATTGTTGCAAAAATGACAGTGCTCTAACAAAAGTTGTTAGCTGAATACATTAATAAATAACAATTGACATTGAACATGATATAGATGTAATGAAGACCAGTGAAATATCTTCACAATCCTCTATGATGTCTTTACGTCTTTCATTAGTGTGTATTCTCAGTGGCAGTTTCTCTCTGCAGATGATGAGGTTATGAAACGTGACCGCATCTGAAATACACAATTGAGTTTAGAGTTACATTGTGTCTCTTCCATTTGATTATGTAAAAACAATTATGTTCATGAAGGCCAAAATGTATTTAATGTTTTGCGTGACTGGGTATGTTTAGGTATAAAGTCATAATTTAAAAAATCTAACAATATGGATCATAAATTACATATACTGTAGCTCAATTTTAACAATATGCTATATGATAGATGTATCAGCTAAAATACTTTTATAAAATAAAGTGCTTTGAGAGGAAATTCTGTTATTTTTACTGACCCCCATGATGTTCCAAACCCATAAGCTGATATTTTTTTTTTTTCTGTGGAACAAAAAAAGGTGAATATGTGAGTCACCAAACGATAAAATCAAGTCTGAGCACTATTTTTGAATGTGAACTGGACATGGATGTAAATGATGTTTCAATAAATAATGTCCGTTCCTTACATAAAGCTATTGCAAGAGGTTTTATGGACAACTTTTTTAAAGATGTCACTATCAGAGATTGTGCTACAAATAACCATTACCCATCACATTGACAGAATGGGTAAGTAACGGGGCAATTTTATCCATGGTTAAAAGTGATGTGTTGCCAGTTCTTGGGCTTTTCTTTTAATCTTTCGTAATGCGAGTCTGTGGTCTTAGAATCTGTTCACCTGGCTAACTCAACAATATCTCATAACTTCTTCAACTGGACTACACTTAAAAACTCTCTTTTATTTCTACAAATCCTAACTTGTCTCTCTGTTTTTTGTTGTTGTTGTTTTTTTACTTTAAAACTGTCTCTTTATAGCATCGCATCAGATCTGACCCTTTTAGCATGTTCTAAATTAGTGAAATGCAATAGACAAGATAACTTGTCAAAATGAAAACATAAATTTAATCATCCCTCAATATTTAAAGTTGGAAACAATGTGAAATGCATGTTTAACAACTTCTGGACACCATGAGCAACCACACTCTAAAAAAATGCTGGGTTGGGTTACTTTTTTTTATTACATTTTTAACCGAATGTTTAAGTTTGTCCATATTTGACCCAAAATTGTGTTAAAACAACCCAGCATTTTTACTGTATGGAAAAGAGTGTTAAGATTCTTTAAAAGTTTTTTGTTTTGAGTAGGCTAGAAAAAAAGCATGTGGATTTAGAATTACTTAAGGCTGAGTAAATGACAGATTGTTTATTTATATATTTAAATGGAACTTCCATTTAACTTCCATTTAAATTATGGAAGGTTGGTGTGACCATCAAGTAATGAGTCATTTATACTACATCTTTTGGAGCTGGGAGGACTGATTCATGATGTGTATATATATATATATATATATATATATATATATATATATATATATATATATATATATATATATATATATATATATATAAAACTCATAATAACTGTGTCATATTATTACAGTGCTAGTTACTTGCCTCCTTCTAGAATTAGTTTAGAGCTAAAAATTTGTTTCAACCATGATGTCACGTTCAAGTGACATCACTACTAACGGATAATTCAGTGTGGCTCCAGTTTAATGTCTCAATCCTAACACCGCGCGCAGTGCAATCGATGGGATAAAATGCGAATGACGCATACAGGTTGAGGATTTCCTTCCCACACGAAAGTCTGACGTCTACCCCTCCACACATTTAACTTTTACCACACGCGGCTTACGGAGGGTCTCCGACAGTCTGCTTACACGACTTCGCTTTTGCGCATGATACTGCGGTCCCGACGCCACTTCACGCTCCAACTCACCTTGAAACGCGGTGCTCTCAGTTTTTACATGGAGAGCGACGGAGAGGCGACCAATACCCGCCCCGACGCCTCCCCCACTGGCCAATGAAATCAGAGCGGGGGCGGAGCTAACAGCTAAATTGTCATGCTTGGTTTCACGCTGGCATTGCCATCAAGCCGCGTCTGGCTGCCGTGCGCTGGTGCAGGTGCTCTATTTCATCGAGAGAGGATGCGAAAGGAAAGAAGGGGAGGGAAAGAATGAAGGGAACCGTCGGAGAAAAGTATGCAGGGCATGATTAAAAGGGTATCAACAGCTGACAGCGTGTCTAACGTCCAGGGGCTTGGCTAAGAATGATTTATTGAAAGGGGCACTTTGAGATATGATGAGGTTTCTTTCTGGTTGGCAATAGTACTATGATTTGGTATGTGGCCACTTTGATAGCAAGTGTATTCAGCACCAGAGGAACAGCTGCTCAAGGTGAGTTGAAGTGCAATTTATATACAGCTTTATGTTTGTTGTGAGATATTGCTGAGTTTAAAATAAAATTCTGGGATTGTGTCATTCTGAGTTAATTTCTAATAATATATCTAAATTCTAATTTGATCATGTGGAATATTTTAAAGTAAACAGCATAGCAGCTCTGGGTTATTTTGTTTTTATAATTATAATAATTATAGTTTTCTCTTTGCATAAATATTATTGCTATGCCATAGTGACATTTCTGTTTAAGTGCTTGTGTTTCTTTAAAAGTCATCTGAGCTTGCAAAACGAGGGTTTGAGCTGTTAATTCATCCATATTCATCTGTTCTTCAATACCATGAGCAACTTTAGACTTGTATACTTCATATTAAGTGTGTTCTATTAAATTAAAGGGATTGATCACTCCAAAATGAACATTTACTGATTTTCTTTTTCTCGTCGAGCACAAAATTATATGTTACCATTCACTTTCATTGTATATTTGAGCTAGCTGAGGCTGATTTTGTCCTTTAGGTTTTGCAACCTCATGAGATTGAGTAAATGATGACAAAGTTTTCATTTTTGTTTGAACTATATTTAAGCTCTGAAAATATTAATTGGGGAACTTTATTTACACATCTGAAGGTGCTTTTACCAGGAATATGGTGTTGTGCTCAGTAGTATTTTAATATATCAGTCATCTTGTGCTATAGGTTGTTATAGTAATTCATTTTATGAATATTCTGCGTTTCCTGACCTCAGATGTCTATAGCTTTTTAAACACAAGACCACTCTAATAGAGCCATCATAAATGTAATTCAAGATGTGTTCTGTGAATCTGACCGACCCTCAGTTCAGACTAGTTTAAATAAGTGGTCTGTCTTTATTTCAAATGTTGGGTTCATGGACTCACATAGCCCTGCAATTTCCAATTTAGCCACTAGAGGGCTGCTAACTGTGTAGCAGCAAGGAGCATCCAATCTTGGGTCACATTTTGAGAACTTTTTCATTGCATGCACTATGATTAATTATACATTTACTATGTCAAGAGAGACATTATTCGTGGTTTGATATGTTGCTGTATGTAGGTGTTATTTAACCCCTAATTTTTATGTATAAAAAGCGGAATGTGATCATCTTACCTTTGAGCTGTGTCATCCCCTTAATCTGACAGTGAGACATATTTCACCTTGCTGTTCTGACTGTGCACTTTGCTGCATTCGCTCACTGTCTCCCTCCTGTGTGTCAGAGCCACGCTGCACTATCCCAGCCCTAATGCAGATCTCTCCCTGCCCTCACCCTCCCGTCTCAAGCTGTTAGCTGGCAAACAGGCCCACAAACTGGCCAGGTGCCAAATCTATGCTTTGTTGCTCTGTCTAAACAGAGGACTGGGAGGCAGTAGTCTGAGAGTCATGAGCTCATGCATGGCTCCAGGTACTGTAGGCCCTCAAGGCTCAATGCTAGCTGACCGCACTGAACTTGTTGAGACCTCCAGCAGTCCACTTCAGGAACAGACCATCTTCCCTCATGAGAAGAGCATGTGCCCAACAGCTTTCCCCTTTTAAACTAGTTTTGTGTTTGTTCGAATGTAATTTTGGCAGGGGCTCAAATTGATCTTTTTACCTAAATTTGTCTAGATTGACAACAAGGAGGTTTATAATACCTGGAGAGAGCTGTCAGATCTCGTTAATCTCAAAAGAATTAAGCTAATCACCTGAGCCTTAAATGAAATGTGAATAATATAATATAATATAATATAATATAATATAATATAATATAATATAATATAATATTAATACGATTATTTTGGGGTCGGTAAGATTTTTAAAATGTTTTTTATATAATTTTCTTAAGCTCACAATGGCTGCATATAATTGATCACAAATACAGTTAAAACTGTTATACTGTGAAATATTATTACAATTTAAAATAACTATTTTCTATTTAAATATATTTTAAAATATAATTTATTTTTTGTGATGGCAAAGCAGCCCATTACCAGCCTTCAATGTCACATGATCCTTCAGAAATCATTCAAATATGCTTTATATTATGTTATATTATAATTTATTATATTATACATTACCCTTTATACTCTACAATGTCATAGTTACAGCATCTACCATGAGGGGCTAACAGATCATGCTAACCAGCCAAAATTTTGACTTTGGGCAGACAGGATGTGATTTGAGCTGATGTGGGTACAATGAAATGATGGTGATTTGTTTTACCAGTTAGCACATGCTAGCAGACTAGATTCTGCTGGGTTCTTAACCCTTAGGCATTGTTGATGTAGCTGCCAGCTGGAAATGGAGAATCTAAAGAAAGCTTGCTCTGGAGGTTTGTACCGCAGTCTATGTTTCATGGAAAACCTGTTAGAGGAGAGCGGGGGACCTGACAGCTGCTCATTTTTAAGCGGTGTTGGATAACATTGGATGTGTTTTCCAACAGTCATCACTTCTCTTTCATCCTCAGGCTGTAATAGCTTGATCCAGCAGAATGATAAGCGTGTAGGATTCTTCCCTGTGGAAAAAATTTAATAGTTTATATAACAAACAAGCAGCCTGTCATCACATCTGGCCGAATTTCCAACACAACTCACATGAGCATGTCACTTTCATAGTCGTTTCTATGTCTTGGTAGTACAGATTGCAAAGAAAGAACCCCCAAATTGCTATATTTCAACTTACTGGCTCACTTGACCGATACTTTCAATGTCTTGTAATTCTGATTTATAATGTCAGCAATCTAGCCAAATCCATGATAGGCGTTCTAATCAAACAGTGAAAACAGCAGACCCGCGCTGATTGCATATATATATATATATATATATATATATATATATATATGCGACCCACAGAGCGCACAGCTAAGGCAGCCAATTCCCAAATGAATTTTGTTGGCTCCATTGATGTGTTAATCAATTAATACAACTTTTTTTTTTAATCAGTATGTTGTCTTGTTTTCGAGTAAACAATATAGAAACATTCTGTAAACAAGATTAATTTACTTGGGAAGAAAAATTGCTTAAGATATTATAACTTTATCGCCTGGTTTCACACACAGGGCTTAGATTAAGCCAGGAGTAGGCTTTAGTTAAATTAGGACATTTAAGTAGCTTTTATAAAAATTAGAAAACAAAACATTACTGGTGTTCATCTTGGGACAAAACAATGACACTGACATTTTAAGATATGCCAGTGCAAGTTGCTTTAAGGAACAGCTCAAACATGCATTTAGTCTTGGAACATTTTAGTCTTGGACTATAGGCTTAAAGAGTTAGTTCACCCAAAAATGAAAATTCTGTCAGTAATTACTCACCCTCATGTTGTTCCAACCCCATAAGACTTTCGTTCATCTTCGGAACACAAATTAAAATATTTTTGATGAAATCTGAGAGCTGTCTCACTCCTCCATGCTTCTATGTAATTGAAACCTGCCGGCCCAAAAAGTTAGTAAAAACATTGTTAAAATAGTCCAAGTGACTACAGTGGCTCAACCTTAAGTTTATCAAGCGACGAGAATACTTTTTGTGCGCAAAACCCCCCAAAAATAACGACTTTATTCAACTATTCATCTCAGATAGGGGTGGACCAGTACTACTTCATTAGATTTTTTATTCTAAACTGTTTTAATTATTCTTATTTGTTTTGATTATTTTAATTTCTTCTATGTAAAGCACTTTGAATTGCTATTGTGTATAAAAAGTGCTATATAAATAAACTTGCCTTGCCTTGCCTTATTCTATGTGGGCCTCAGCCTATAGTCTAAAGCCTCGTACACACCGGGACGAATATCGGCTCGCGTTATTCGTCAGCGTTTTTCAACGCAACGCAAATTCATTCCCTGACATTAGATGGCGCTTAATGTAAAACAGAAATACCCCGGTCCACAAAGTGGCGCTGCGCAACTACGCTTCTGACACTCGCTTGTCACTCAGAAGAAGAGAGCAAGTTTGTCGCGTTTGTCATATAGTTCTTTATTGTCGTTGGTGTCTCTTTATAAAGACACCAACAAGACCAGCAGCTCTACATTCATCTAGCCTTGCATCTTCCTCGTCTTATTTCTTCCCGGCAGAGTGTAGACGCTGTACATCTTCTTCGCTATTATGTATGTGTGCTCGGCAAGACTGTTTTGTGTTTGAGCGCCCCCAAGTTGTGTTTTACTGTAACTTCAGAAGCTCCAGACACGTGAGCAAAAGCGGCAATCTCATTGGTCGGATAGTTTTTGACGCGGCGCGTCAAACCAAAAAAAACAAACCCGAGGCGTTTTTTAAAAAATGACGCTTTTACGCGTGGTGTTTTACGCGTCGGTGTGCACACTCACTTTGGCGCCCATTGTTTAGTCACGAGGCGTTAAACGTCGGCGAATATCGCACGCGAAATTCGTCCCGGTGTGAACAGGCCTTAAGACTAAAATGTTCCAAGACTAAATGCATGTTTGAGCTGTTACTTAAAGCAACTTGAGTTCACTTAGTGTAACAGAGAAGCACTACGTCAGAACGTAGGCTCACTATTGGCCGACACTGGTCATGAGTGTGATGCTGGCCAACAGTTAGCCTACGTTCTGATGTAGCGCTGCATTGGTAAAACACAACCTACTGCACTTCATATATATATACACTCACCTAAAGGATTATTAGGAACAACATGCTAATACTGTGTTTGACCCCCTTTCGCCTTCAGCACTGCCTTAATTCTACGTGGCATTGATTCAACAAGGTGCTGAAAGCATTCTTTAGAAATGTTGGCCCATATTGATAGGATAGCATCGTGCAGTTGATGGAGATTTGTGGGATGCACATCCAGGGCACGAAGCTCCCGTTCCACCACATCCCAAAGATGCTCTATTGGACTGAGATCTGGTGACTGTGGGGGCCATTTTAGTACAGTGAACTCATTGTCATGTTCAAGAAACCAATTTGAAATGATTCGAGCTTTGTGACATGGTGCATTATCCTGCTGGAAGTAGCCATCAGAGGATGGGTACATGGTGGCCATAAAGGGATGGACATGGTC